AAAGGGCTTCGACCTTACCGCTTCTTCCGGGCGTTGCGTTTCCAAGGGGGTGTGAGATTTATTACGGTCGCCGGCCTCGCGCCTTGTTCTCTTCGCGTCAACGTCGCTGTCATCAAAAACTCGTCGAAAGGACCATTTCGAGATCGAGAGGACGATTATTATTTTATTATTAATTTTTTTTTTTTATTAGAGACCGCCTCTTCTGTCCGCGCGTCAGTTCCCGCGCGAGAAGAAAACGTATCGAAGTCCGCGATGAATAATTGCGGAATTCGATCCCCATGGGGATTCGGCGGCGCTCGAAAACTTATAACCAACTGTCATCGGATCTGGCTACTCGCCACGACACTTTGACAAAATCGTATAAATTTTCTGGAAGAAACGATTGTGAATTTATCACACATATTCAAAAGTTATGTACCTATATAAGGAGAAGTTATGTTGTATGTAAAGAGGATGGGAAGGTTTGATTAACAACGAGGAAAATGGCTTTAATATGTATTGGAACGTCACGTAGTAAAACGCGGAACGCCAAGCACCGCGCAATATATATTCGCAAGCTCCGCGGCGTTATTGCGAGCGTTTGACGACACGCGAAATTATTTATCGGACAAATGACGAGAGACATCGAGTTTATTTTGCTTCATCTCCCCTCCCGTCGTTACCGTACGGCGGAGACGTGTAATAACCAACGTCATCCGCATTTCCCCGTCGAACGCTACGGGGATGTTTGCGCGGGGCTCGCGCCACAAAGAGATAGATACGCGTTGCGTGTACACGTACAAAACGTATTTTTATATATATTGAAGAAGGCGAGTCTCTCTCTCACGCAAAGGAACGCACGCCGCAGCTCGAACGCGAAATACATACGCGTTTCCGAAAAACGGAGAAACAAATATTTCGAATCTCTCTCGTCGAATCAAATTTGAAAACAAAAAAATTGACGCGCGCGCGAAATATCGGGGAAATATAAATTTTTTTGTTTTATTTACTTTAGCAGCGAAATATCGACAGTATTTTCCATTCGTACGTAAACAAATTATATTTCGCCGCTAAAGCGAAATATAATTTTTTCTTTCTTTTTTTTTTTTTTTCACGTACTCAAAGCGACGAGCTTCGAGCGAGTACTTTGTGACGTGCGCGTATGAAGGAAACGCTCTCTTCTCCTTCCGCACGTGTGTTGCGAGAGTTCTGTTAGTTAAAATTAACTTGCTAAGAGAAAGAAAGTGTGTCTCTCGAAGCGATGGCTTCGCGTTTCAACTTATTACACACTCGGGACGCCTCGACAAAAGCGAAATCCGAGGCGCGACCTAAATTCTTCTCCAAAGAACCGGCGAACATTTCTATACATATATAAAATTTATAGCGATTTTCTAAGCGCGCGCGCGCGTTCCTTCGTGTATTATTAAAAGTCCAATATATCGAGTCATTTTTTTTTCGCTCTTACGCGCGCGGTATCGCGCGTTGTTTATTCATTTCGGAAAAAAAAAAAAAAAAATAAGTTGCATTTTAACTTCGCGGAGGTCATTCCTCATACGCACACCCGTTAATTATCCGTTAACATTAATCATTCGTCGGGGAACGACGACGACATGTGTTTCGCGGTAATTGTCACAGACACGCTTATCAAACACGTCGTTACGTATTCAAGTCTATTAAGTTATAGCGTCGCTCTCTCTCGAGTTGCTGTGCAAGAAGACCCTCGCTTATAACGCGAGAAAACGTCACGTGCGTCCGCGACGCATTTCGTCTCCATCCATAATGCAACAATAGAGTCTTTGGAAGATTTCTCGAGTGACACGTGTTTCGGAAGCCGAATAGTTTTGATTTCTTCGAGAGATATAAATTTTTCTTTCTCTCTCTCTTTCTCTCTCGAGATACTCGCCGCAACTTCGTCTCTCCTGCGGAGTTTCTTCAGTGGCTTAAACATAGGCTCGACTCTTCGCGTCGATCCTCCTCGATTTTACGATGCAGTCTGCGTATCGTCGCACCTGATACGTCACGCGCGCATAATGATGGCATCTTGATAAGAAAAGAGCTCGCTCGCTCGCTCGCTACGTACGTTATTCTCTCTGTCCTCTCTCGGGTTTGTGCGCGCGAATTATATAGTCTTTCATCGATCGTCTTTTAGGTATGTATCGCGATATCGGAATAACAAAGCAATCACGGACAGATAAGCGGCAAGAAGAGCGTGTGCGATTTGAATTTGCTCCGATATATGTTTTCCGACGCATCGTGTGCGACGCGAGCGTGCGCACCGAACGGACGTCACAGTGCGAAATTCAATTTGATACTTTATCGATAACGAAGTGTTATTACACGCAATACGCGCATATACGGTGGTTTCGATCAAACAGTCAGTGCCGTGGCTGCATCGCGCACGTAACTTCGCATATTCAGCGGAGATGGAAAATATGAGCGAAAAGTTATTGCACGTTCGCTCGAGTGAGTTTATTGCTGTTTTGTATTAAAAAAAAAAAAAAGGTCATTTTGTTTGAGAGATTTGTAGGAAAACGGCGCGCGCGTCTGTGTGCTTTCAAAGGACAGAAATTTGCGAGGTTTTGAAAACGGCCCTTCGGAGAAGACGCTCTGCGTTTTTTTTTTCTAATCAAACGCTTTCAATTAGTTCCGTTTAAAAAATCGCTGAAGTGAAGAGACTTCAATTCACAAAAAATCATCATTGCTCTCAAACAAATGACCTTTCGCACAAAGCACAACAAGTTAATAAACGACTTGAACATGTTGTCACAACAGCTCTTGTCGCTATTTTCCCTCTCCGCTTGTTAAATAATACGAAGAGAGAGACACGCGCAATCCGGTTGTTATTTGATCACACAAAAACCACACGTGTATTCTCTCTCTTTCTTCTCGAAGATGTTGCTCCGAGATTTAAATCTCGCATTAGTGTCGACAGTTTGACTCCGTAAAGCTCTTTTGCGAGAAAATTACTTTGTCGCGGAAAAATGACGGAGATTTCTTCGTCATCTTTCCGCGTCAAATCCGCCGGCGTTTCATCTTTGTGGACGGGATAGCCTATTTACAAAAAAAAAAAAAAGATATAAGCCCGCGTGCCACGCTATAAAATCGGAGCGCGCACACGACGAGTTTCGTTTTTCTCTCCTCAATCTGGAAATATAACACGTTGTTCCACTTTTTTCTCGCTATCTCACTCGCGCGATTATTTCGCTTTAATCTGCGCCCAAGGATTATCTGTCCGCTCTCTATATTTTAACAGGAAGACAGCCAGCCGGGTGTGTTGATAAGTTTATCAATCGTGCGTTTCCGTTGCACTTCGCGCCAGCGAGAGAGAATTTAATTTTCTTACGAGTCTTATCGCGGCGCGCGGCGAATAATACACGAAAACTTGAGGAAGGTCGTTGAGGAAGACGCGCGACAAAGAAAAACGTTAAAGTTCGCGTACAAGTCAGCGAATGATATCAAACATTTCCCACAATGACACTCTTTTTTCTAGACTGGCCTCAAAAACGCAGTTTTTTTTTTTTATATTCCAGAATTTCGCCTGATAAGATCGTTGCTGTTTTTTTTTTTTTTTTTTTAGCAAAGATATACGCAACGATCGTTAATTGCGTCGATGTGTCAAGAAGTATCTCTGGACTTGACGCGAAGTGGGTAAAACAACGCGTTATCGATCGCTAGTATTGGATGGTCGCAGGATTAAATCGTCCATTGTAGACACAGCGAGCGTATCTCGAGCTTAGGCGCGAGTAGGAAAATCGGCCTTTGCTTGTGCGAGGCGAGGTGGGACAATGGGCAATAAACCCGATAAGAGTTAATTTCACATCGGGCGACGCACGCTCGAGCGTAGCGGCTCGCGAGCGATCGTCAGTTTATGCGCGCGAGGCCGGTCGCGGAAAAGAAAAAAAGTGTGTGCGCGCGCGACAACGCGTGTTGCGACAATATGCGCGGCGCTAATCGCTCGCATTTCTGTCAGTCATATCGCGAGTAGTCGCGGAAAAACGACGTCGTCGCTGGACGGACTTGTTGGGGTTTTGCACTCCGTCAAGCGCGCGCGCGCGAAAAAAAGAAAAGAGAGAGAAAAGAGGTATACAAATTGTGACAAACGATGTATTATATATCGCGGTGTATTCGATCGCGTCTTCGTTCAGGTGTGATTTTTTTATTGTCAGTTAACGCGCGCGACTGTATACAGCGTTTTTGTTTCGAAAAAATCTAGAATCAAATTCAATATAACAATTTATGAAAAATGTTTACCCCCGCGAAGTTCCGATAATTCTCGCGCGCGCGCGCGCTGATGTAAATAAACGTATTGACGACGATTCGGATATTTATTGCGCGAGATAAACAAAAATATCGCCCGTATCGATGTAATTAATTGGATTCTCGATCAATATTTGCGAAAGTGCTTCAGGCGTTGGGTTATATGATACCCGATGCGATCGCGCGTTTAATTATCGATTGACGACCGAATAAATCCGGCAGTTTTGCAAACTCGCAAGCGTGTGTTTTTGCTTTTACGCGCGTACGTTGCGAGATTCGTCGCCCGATGATCGATATATCCGGAAATTGTTCGACAATTGACCGACAGCTCCGACAGTTCGATTTATCCGGTTCGCGACGAAGTATTGGCAATCTCGCGAAAAACAAAAAGAAGAAAAGTGAAAACGCGGGAGGTAAAAAAAGGGAAGCGTAACGGGAGGAGAATAAAATATGGTACTTGAGTGTGTACTCTTAGCAACGCGTTGCAGCGTCCTGCGACCGACACATTTTCCATGCCGATGCGCGCTTACCCTCGTGCTTACCCTCTTGCGCCGAGCACGCTGCACCCCACACAACACACACACACATACACACACAGCGAATCACCCCTTCCCTTATGTGTATACACACACGTATCTCTCCCACCCCTCTCTATGTGCTTTCCTTTCGTCCCACTCGTTCCACCCTTCGCTCACCTACGAGTGACGGCATCTGCTTCTGAAAATAGTCGCTAGTAAAGCGATTCACCGTGCATGTCGTATAACGTGACTGTTAAGCCGCCGCCGATCTCCTTTCTCTCTTTCGCTCTTCCCTCGCGTTGTGCGCCGTTGTATATCTTCTCTCTCGCGTGACCGAAAACAAACAACGGTAGAGATTTTCGTGTTCGAGGGATTGGCGGCGCCCGCGCCAACGGGAATGATTTTTCGCGAGAAAGAAGAGCCGAGCGCGGCGTGTTGTTTTCGTCGGCGTCAAGTATTTGTTTCGAAAAACTTTGGCGGCACCACCACCACCACCACCGCCAGTGTGAAACTCGATCAAGCGAGCTCATTAGCGAGCGGCCTTCGAAGACTCGCTAGTGTGTTTTTGTTATGGAGTTGCGCGCGGTATCAGGTTGTGGCGCGATAATGGGAATGCTCGCAGTCCGCGACGCGATCTTTGTGCTACCGTCCGCGCCTCGCATGTGCATCGTGAAACTCTATCTTCATCGCAGGTTTCGGTTTCTCTTCATCCCGGTAGCCTCTAATCGGCTTTCCGTGAAGAGAGCGCGCTTCTGCGACCTTCTTCTGTGAGAAGATTCCAGAGCGCGGTGTGTAATCGCCTAAAAAGATGAAAGCTGCACCTACGAGCCGAGAGTCTGTCGGCGGATATGAGACGCGCAGGTCTGTGTGTTGTTGCGAAAGAGAGAGGAAGTCGCGCACATTTAATTGATTCGTGATTTTTATTCAATTTCCATCGCGATTAAAAAAATTTCTTCGCTTTGACGATCAATCAATCGGAAATTATCTCTGCTTTTGGTTCGTTAAAAGAAACGCCTCTCGCGTAAAGAATCACCGGATATCGGAGCGACGGGCGGTGGAGAGTCGGGGGCGGGAGGGA